CAAACAAACTGCAAAACAGTGCGTAAACACATCAAACTTTACAACAAACCCATCCCCCTGAAATTTAACCAGGCTACCCTAAATGCATACCTGATGATAGCCCTGTGTCCGTGCAACAACATGACACCCAGCTAGAAACAAACCCCTCTCAGTTTGAGGGAGACACTGAGCTTTGAAAGACAGAGATAAGCCCGGGTACAAAAACTCAGCAAATCCAGTTTAGCACAAAGCATAGTCTTTAGAACAACCGTACCCCCCTATAATTTAACCAGACTACCCCAAATGCATATCAGATGATATCCCTGTGTCTGTGCAACAACATACCACCCAGCTAGACCCAAACCCCTTTTCAATGTGAGGGAGACACTGAGCTCTGAAAGACAGGGATAAGCCCCGGTACAAAAACTCAGCAAATCCACAGTCTCGCACAAAGCATAGTCCTTAGAACAGCCCCAGCCCTCTGAAATTTAACCAGCCTAACCCAAATCATACCCGATGACAGCCCCTGTGTCTGTGCAACAACATGACACCCAGCTAGACACAAATCCCTCTCAATTTGAGGGAGACACTGAGCTTTGAAAGACAAGGATAAGCCCCGATGCAAAAACTCGGCAAATCCACAATCTAGCACAAAGCATAGTCTTTAGAACAACGCCACCCCCCTAAAATTTAACCAGCCTACCTCAAATCATACCAGATGATAGCCCCGGTGTCTGCGCAACAACATGACACCTACCTAGAAACAAACCTTCCTCAATTTGAGGGACACACCGAGCTTTGAAAGACAAGGATAAGCCCCGGTACAAAAACTCTGGACTCCACAGTCTAGCACAAAGGGTAGTCTTTAGAACAACCCCACCCCCCTGACATTTAACCAGACTACCCCAAATACATATCAGATGATAGCTCTGTATCTGTGCAACAACATGACACCCAGCTAGACCCAAATTCCTCTCAATTAAGGGAGACACTGAGCTTCGAAAGACGGGGATAAGCCCCAGTACAAAAACTCAGCAAATCCACAGTCTAGCACAAAGCATAGTCCATAGAACAGCCCCAGCCCTCTGAAATTTAACCAGCCTACCCCAAATGCATATCAGATGATAGCCCTATGTCTGTGCAACAACGTGACACCCAGCTAGACACAAAATCCTCCCAATTAAGGAAGACACTGAGCTTTCAAAGACAGGGATAAGCCCACGTACAAAAACTCAGCAAATCCACAATCTAGCACAAAGCATAGTCCTTAGAACAACGCCACCCCCCTAAAATTTACCCAGCCTACCTCAAATCATACCAGATGATAGCCCCTGTCTCTGTGCAACAACATGACACCCACCTAGACACAAACCTTCCTCAATTTGAGGAACACACCGAGCTTTGAAAGGAAGGGATTAGCCCCGGTACAAAGACGCAGCAAATCCACAGTCTAGCACAAAGCATAGTCTTTGGAACAACCTTACCCCCCTGAAATTTAACCAGACTACCCCAAATGCATATCAGATGATAGCCCTGTATCTGTTCAACAACATGGCACCCAGCTAAACACAAATCTCTCCCAATTTGAGGGAGACACCGAGCTTTAAAAGATAGGGATAAGCTTCGGAAGAAAAACTCAGCAAATCCACAGTCTAGCAGAAAGCATAGTCTTTAGAACCCACCCCCCTGAAATTTTATCAGGCTACCCCAAATGCATGTCAGATGATAGCCCTATGTCTGTGCAACAACGTGACACCCAGCTAGATACAAACTCTTCTCAATTTGAGGGAGACACTGAGCTTTGAAAGACAGGGATAAGCCTGGTACAAAAATTCAGCAAATCCACAGTCTAGCACAAAGCATAGTCTTTAGAATAACGCCACCCCCCTGAATTTTAACCAGGCTACCCCAAATGCATACCAGATGATAGCCCTGTGTCTGTGCAATAACCGGACTCCCAGCTAGACACAACTCCCTCTCAATTTAAGGGAGACACCGAGCTTTGAAAGACAGGGGTAAGCCTCGGTACAAAAAATCAGCAAATCCACAGTCTAGCACAAAGCATAGTCTTTAGAACAATACCACCCCACCCCCGGAAATTTAACCAGGTTACCCCAAATGTATAGCAGATGATAGCCCTGTGTCTGTGCATATTGGAGCCCATGGTTAAGAGCTGAGGGTGGTTAGTCCCGAAGAGGGAGATTTTTATTTTTACACTAAAAGCATTACGGTTTTAAGCAAATTTAGGTTTCGAAAGATTGCCTGCAATGTGCTGGACTTGACTTAAGATTTCAGGCAACCCGGGTTCCAAAACTCCAGGTAGAATTATGAACAGCAAAATAACTTTCATCTCCTCTTTTGGAGAGATTTGTATTTCATTCAATGTACAGCATGTTATTCTCTCTTGATGCGAACTTTCCTTCAAACAGGCTGACTAGCAATGCTATTTCTTTTGTGCTAAACTGAATGTAAACGCCACTTCAAAATCTTATAGCACCAGTTATAAAATTAGCTTTTCGTGCTACTTTTTCTTGGCTTTTCTTTTGATTGTTTTCTCATCATTTGAGCTTGCTCTTTGTTGGTGTGTATCCAAAGTTTAAGCTTGATGATCTAAGTGTGATTGTAATAATTAACTCTAAACTGCCACATGGTCCCAGTATGCAATTTTCCAGTAAGCCACTAGAATGATATCTCTCTACAATTTCTTTTACACCAGAGATATTAACATCTATGTCTCTTTGCTTCTAGTCAGGTAATTCTCAATTTTAAACGTGTATCTCTGCACCACTTCATTGCTTGTATTTTATTTCTTCCTGATTAAGACAGGGCGTGTTTCTTTTGGTCAAGAGAAGGGGATTTCAAAAAATTATTATGATGTTAGGGGGGATATATCAATGCCCATTACAAAAAATATCCTCTCCCTCACCCTCCCTGCTGCCTTTATACGACGAAAAGAAACTTATCTAAGGGAGCAGTAATCATAAGTGGAAAAAATACAAGAGGAGTGCATGGCGGTACAAAATGCCTTAAAAATTTAGTTTAAATAGCTAAGCAAGGGATCAATTATCCTTTGCTTTTGAAACCAACGAAAAAACTGGAAAAGGAGAAGAATAATTAGGCCATAATATGTCACAAACTTAAGGAGACAGTCTGGCTAAAACCATTGCATGTTTTTCATTTACTACTGCCCTTTTTCTTAAACATCTAGCCAAGATTTCATTCTGGCAATCAAAAAAATGACTCAATTAAGTTGTTTTTTTGTTTGAACAAAAAAAATTTTTTTAGAATTTTTGGATGACTTTTCCAATGTTTTTATGTATAAAAATGAAGGGGGCATATTGGACTTTTTGCAAAATTGGAAAATATTGGATTTGGGGGTTGAAAACAATTAAAATATGAAGTGAAAAATTACTAGACGACTACGAAAACAAGGTGCTTTTAAGCGCATTAACGGACTAACTGGTTTATGTGTATACCTTTTCTATCCTAATTTATTTCCTTCCCAAATCAACAGTTGACATTTCCCCCTAAGAGACAACCAGAGTGCCCCCTTAACAAGTCGCATCCTGATAATCAGCAACTCAGAGGACCTAAAAAATGCTGAAAACTTGTTGAAATGTTTGGTTTGTAAAAGTTTATTTCATTAGTCGATAGTTAGTAGGTTTTTAACTATATTATATTGTTAGGTAACTATATTATATTGTTAGGTGTCCCCAATTAGTAGAGGGGTTCTTAACCCCATCGGCTAGACATTCCAAGACACATTAATAAAGTTTATGTATGTATGTATGTCTAAGAGTGACATTTTGATAATTTAGCAATTCGGCGGCACAAGCTTTTATTCTTTGCTTTTACTGATTTAAACTGTCTTCTTGTACAGTAATGCCATTTTGTGTTCCAGCAGCTCTTTCAAATCAACTTGATTTAATTCATTCCTCACTGCAAAATCACTGACAAATTTCAATAGCTTTTCTCTCAACCTTTTTTTTTTTCACAGAACACTTTAAACCCAGTAGGCTTTTTAGAACATTATGCTCGCCTTTTTTGAGCCTTTTAGTGAGACAAAAGCATTAACATTTTTTGTGGAATTTTCTTGGAAAATTTAATATTTTTTTCTCGGATGAAATATAGTTTAAACTTCTTTAAGAGAAATGATGACTTAAATTGGAATTCAAAAGAGTTAATATTCAAATTTCACCTTAATAAAGCATTGTAAAGGATCATGTTTTGCTGCATTGAGTTTCTTAACTTACATACATTGTTGCCGACATTCTGCTTATACATTTCTGTTAGCCTGAAACCTTCTTAAAACGTTTAGAATTGATAAAAAACCCTTAAATTATGAGCATTATCCAAGCATTTTAGTGATGTTTTGGAGGGTGACCCAGAATTGAGTTGGAACTAAAATGGTGCATTAAGCTGAGCATTTTAATGTCGAAACAAAAGCATAATGACTGCCTAAAACTTACAATAGGGGGGTTATGTAACTAAGTCATTGTCTTCTTTGTCGACTGTACTTATCACCTTGATAAAGACTATTTTGGGGGTACAATAAAAACAGGGACAAAGGCGAGAAAAACTTAACATTTTTTTCATCTTTAAAATAAAGGTAAGCAAAGTATGTGACTACAAATTGGCTCTGCAGATGCAAATTCAGCCTTGATACTCACTAAGGTGTATTAACCCGAAAATATTTAACAGTTTTCTTGGAGATCAAAGATGTTATTCGAAACGAAATTTAAGGAAGAGAGGGGCTTTTTAAAACGTTAGAAACGAACCTTCAAAAAGATTAAAAAAAAAAACAAATAAAAAAACTTTTCTTAATTAGGGCGCCATGTGGTTGCAGTTCATTGCAATCCAATTTCTGTTGGTAACTCGAGAATGTTTTAAAACAATTTATGTAAAAACTGTGCATCCATTACTATGATCTTATTAAAGTTGTTGTTTGTCTTCAAACAGGCAATACTTTTCATGGCTCAGCTATAAGTTACTATATACTGAAATAGCTTGATAAGTCTTTTATTATTTCGGTGTCTTGTGAACTAAGTTTTACTTCGGCTCTGTTTGTGTTGTTTGCTTACAATTCATTCTTTGCTAAAAATTTAAATAACTGCAAACAAAAGAAACATTTTTCAAGAGAGCGATCAAGCGTGACATTGAAATACTCGCCGTTGACCAAAAAATACAATATGCATTCAAAGCTTCAACATCGCCCGCCCGTAGTCAGTAAAAACTCGTGGGCAACTGGACGATAAACTGTGAATCAATCCATCCCGGAAACAGCTGGATTTTACACTGGAGACTGCGAAAGCAGTTGGCACCGTTTCATAGAAATTCTACCGAGGGTAAATTATTTTGAAGGTAATCCAAGATTCGCCATTCTATCTTTCTATCTATTTGCAAACTAAAACCGCAATGGCTGGGTTTGTTCAAGGTCTAAAAAGTCTTTTTAACATGAGGAAAGTTGTTGAAGATTGATCTGAAATGATGTTTTGCAGCCTTTGTATATTCGTTTTATGGTCTGAATATTTAAGTTTAGACAGTGGAAACAAGTTGTCAACTTTGTGCAAACTAACTTTAGCAATAAGATACCGCACCACTACTTAGAAACCCTGAAGATCGCGTCTTTTAAATTTAGCGGGGTTCCGTTGGTTATTAAACGCTTCGATGATCGATTTTAGCTAGAAACGTATTAACCAAATTAAACAGTCCATTGAACTCTTTCAATTATAACGATCATTTCCCGGAGTAAACCGTTACCATCATTTGGTTCATTGCTTCTAGAAGAATCTCACACAATATGAAATTTTGAAGGATAGTTAATCAGCAATATAAAGTACCTTGCAAAACGGTCTGTTTTTATTAACAAAATGTCCGCATCAAGTCGAATTGATTGCTTCAAGTTAAAGTGGCGAGAAACAAGTTGCAAACCTTCTTTATAAACAATTTTATTTTCATTCACGAATCTGTAAATAACTGATACTCTTTCACAATATTTTGAATTCTTTAATAACGCGAACAAAGACTTAAAAGCGTCGAAAAAAAAAACCTAAATGATAATTGCGTAAGGAGAAAATGTACACCTGGTTGATGAATGACTAAAGAATCCAAAAATTTGACTTTTTTGCCCTAGAAAACCGCTCCTAATTCATTGGGATTGTTAAGAAGAGCTAATTAAGATAACGTTTACAATATCATCATCATTAGCTGAACAATTTGTTGCAACCTAAACTTGCTAGAATGTCTTTAGCCGTCTAAGTGTCTACAGATCAGCCCTGGTCGTTTAAAAAGCCCTTTCATTCAAGAAAGAACGATGTTCTAACATTTTAGTGTCTGTGGTGTGACCATTTGAATGAAACCTCTCCAGCAATACTTTCACCTGATTTGTTTTTCTGCATCTAATTTAAGAAATGAAATTTTGATTTCTTTGTCTGTTTTAGGACTCTCGGACCACCCCTATAAGAGTAAACTATTTTTAGAATTTTCCAACTCCGCCATTTTCATTATCAAATTTTCTAAAAAAGCAAGCAGAGGATAAAATTTTTTAATAAATATATATATTTCCGGCGCCAGGCAGTTGGTTTCATGCTTATTATATTGTAAATAGACCACAGATTGCTATATGATTTTCGAGAATATTCAGATCGAGACAACAGTCTTTCTCTCTCTCTCTCTCTCTCTCTCTGAAAAAGTTGAGTGTATAAACGGCCCTTCAGTTAAGCAGGGGTAAACCGTTCAGAATTTTGGGTCGACACATTTGTTTCACAAGAAAGCTGGCACAGTTGATCAACGGTAATTTTCCGTGCATGAGCAAGAGGCCGCTATAGCGGTATTCAGTTAAGCCGATACAAAATCCTACTGTTTCTAATCTTAGTCAAACTTCGAGAGAGTTGTTTTTAAGCCAACAGCTGGCTAAGGATATCCGCCGGCTCTGTTCGGACGAAAAAACAGTCTATCTTTCTAATATTCGAAGTTTTTGGTTTACCTACTCAATGCACGAGTGGGTGGAACCTGTATAACTATCTAGACAACTAGATCGCTCGTGCTCGTTTCTTGTTGAATGTATAGAAAGCATTTTTGTTCAGTACATCAACTAAACCCTGAGTTATTTGTGATCATTTAAACGAACGCTTTCGAGGCTATACACTAATGTTTAGTCTTTGTTTGCTGTTTATTTTGATCACTTCAAGGTGGCCTACCTTCAAAGTCTGTGGGCTACAGCTGAACTGAAATTCGAGCATTGAAATAAAAGCCTCCTTCGAAATTGGCGGTTACCGTTGTTTCACTAACGTTTCAAATAAGGTTTCAAGTGTGTATGCCAACCAATACAAGTGAAAAGAAGTCCTTTTCCATGTTGTTAACGTCTCAGGTGTTGTTTACAACTCTTGAGAACGTAAACTACCTTCCTGTGTGATTTACTTACTTTCACTACTTTTCAAACTAAAGTTTCAATACATTTGTTTCAGAAGCCGGCTATGTTTTAATTTGGTGTTGTAAAAGACGTTCTAAGTTATCTGAAGACCGGGGCCTCTGCTATACAGCGAGAAGGATTTCTACGGAGGGCTTCATGTACAAAAAGTTAATTCTTTGATGGTGTCTGGGTTTAACTGGATAAGCTACCTTAACGAATGTCTAGAAAGTGAGCCGTTAGACAGCTCGGCTCCATTGCAAAATATAACCTTTTTTCTAAGCTGATTGCTAGAGAATCAGCTTCACCATATCATATTATTCAGTGGCAAAACCAAAAGTTATTAAAACATCCAAGACTCGCAAGCAACCTGTTGATCAGATTCTTCTAATGTTTTATTTTATCACTGAAAAAAAACAGAGGCCTGTTTGTAAGCTTAATTGCACTCAGTTGAGATTAATGCTTTCTGTCATCGATTATTGCTTTGCCAATTAATCAGCGGTAAACTAAAAGTTATTCAAACGTCCAAGCCTCGCAAAAAAACCGCTGTTATTAATGGATTCTTCCAACGTTTTATTTTATCATTGAAGAAAACAGAGCCTTGTTTACAAGCTTACACTTTAGATTTACGTTTTCAGTCATCGATCATTTACATTAAAAACCTAAAACATCTTTAAACTCAAATTTATGATTCTCTGAATCTCTCGGCTCAGTAGCTAAACGACCCTTGTCACAGATGGCTGAGAGTAATTAGATTTTGCCATTTTGGACTTTCTCCGGCTTTTCGCATCAAGAGCAGCACTTCACGAGTGCCAGCTGTACCAAGCATATGCGCCGGAAAGTTTAATTGACTTGATTTCAAAAGTGGTCCATTTAGCAAGCCAATTTTCTTATTTCCTGAAACAAAGATTCTTCTTTTGGAAAAAAGATAAAAGATTACGGAGTGTTTCTTTAGCATCCGATGGATTTACTACGCGGAAACGACTCATAGCTATTTGAGGAAACTACAACACGTAATTATTTTTCATAATAACTTAATTCAACATAAACTAGAAAATTCTTTTTCACTCAATCCCTCTCTCTCCCTCTCTCTTTCTAAATGTTTCCTGATATTTTGATAACTGTTGGCATCTGAGAAACATAACCTAAGAATCAAAACTTAACTACCTACCTCTTATTATCATTGTTGCTTTAATAATCAAAAGTCATGAATTTGCTTGTTCATTTTAAGCAATCTCGCACGTGACAGATACAACAACAACATTCATTCCCTTCAGGGTTAAGATGTTCAAAGTATCAAGAGACACATATGGAATATAATTTCAGACCCAACTATGCAAATAGCCGCTTGTAAACCATTAATTTTTAATTATTCTGTCAGAGACTTGCCGGTTTGCTTGGTTTCTGTCATCCACTGACATGACAGGAGCAGTGTTAGTACTGACCCAGCAAGGGAATCGCCTTTTTAATCAATCCAACTGGTCCCGCAAGAACCGAATTTCAAGAGCTAGCTTCTCTTTCTCCATGGCTAACTTTTCTTTTTCTAAGGCCAATTTTTCTTTTTCCAAAATAAGTTTTTCTTTCTTGAGTTTGTCCACCTCAGCTCGCACGTTCGACAGAGATTCGTCTTGGCTGCCGTAATCCGAAAGCTTCCTCTTCTTAATCACGTGCGCAAGAGACGAAGGTAACATTCGTTTCTGCTGTGGTGACAGGGAACGAAACGACCTCACTCCAGTCACTTGGGAACTGGTGAGGTTTGCACTGCGTATACTGCTCGGTAACTGTCTCGGTGTAGGAACTGCGCTCACAGTGGCGTTTGATTTTGTAGAAACAATAGAACTATTGCTTGGCACCGTCTCATCAGCCGCGCCAGTTGGAGTATGATCTTCTGTGGTCGAAGCGCTAGCGGTGGTCAGAGAAAGATCTGACTTTTTGTTCATACTTTGCTCACACTCGTGATTTTGGTCCGTATTTATATCAGGCGAGACCATGACCGACGGTTTTATATCCTCTGGACGAGTAACTACCACATGAATGACCTGCTGAGGGCTGTTCTCTTGGTGATGGTTGTTTTCGCTGTCTTCTTCTTTCAGTTGTTCCAAAGCTTGCTCTCCTTGGTGATCTTCAGCAAAACAACTACCGTCGAACGAAGTCATTAAGGTCCCACAATTTGTCGCAGAAATTCTTAAAATTTCTACGATCCTTTGACTGACCGGAGAGAGTTTTCTTTGCGAAACAGACTCGCTACCGTCAGGAGAAGTCATCGTTGTTTCTAACAATTCTTTCTTTGCTGCTCTTACCATGTTTTTCCACTTCCTCTTCAGATCGTTAGCAGTTCGTAAAACCACCGGATTTTTGCTGTTGTAATCGTTGCAAATGCGCTTCCACACTTCCACCTTTTGTTTGTTGGTGGACGCATCGTTCAGTTTTGAAGTGAGAACGACAGCGTTCCGCTCAAACTGGGAGATGAGGTACAAACTCTCCCCCTCTGTGAAGTTTGGCTTTCGCTTATTAGCGACAAGGAGCAGGTCCAAAGAATCGTTGCGGCCTTCACTGGCGTAATTCTCCATTCAGTGCACTACCTGAAACTAGCAATGCAAGAGTGAAGAAAACCGCTCGGATTCACACAGCAGCGCGCGTCTGTTGTGAAAACTTGTGAGACTTGAAGCGTATCTGAACGAAGATCGTGACAAAGTCAACGTCCAGGCCGAATGTACTAAATCACGGTTTGGAGAGAGGTGACCTTTGCTGATATTGGCACTAAGTCAAAGACCCAACTTAGCCTTACCAATACTCATGCTTCAGCTGATACCGGTGTCTTAAATTTAAATAGAAATGGACACCAAGCCGTGCACAACTGCACGTATTATGTTAATCCATGACGTCAGATGGTGATTACGCATATTTTAAATCTTAAAGCCGCAGGTTCAAAGACCGGTTTGAAAAAGATCAAGGCCCGATTTGTTTTGTCGCCTGTCGAAAAACCGGCTTCTTTGTTTTGTTCCCAGAGGAACAGTTAACTTGAATACTAAGCAACATCAAGTTTGAACCAGACCTTGTTGGAGAAACTGAAGAAGTCGACGCTAACGTGCCGGAATATTCATTACCAGAAATTCGATTCTCGACGACGACCGTATTTTCCTTAAGAGTCTTAAAAAATATTTTACAAATAAAGTTGAGGTGGAATCATGAGTGTGGGATATTTGTGTAATCTGGATAAATAAGCACTAATCTCATAAAATCCGGTTGCCTAATCAGGCCTGTGGGGTCCAATCAACGAGAACGCTCGAGGTTATTTGAAGGTGTGCTGTAAGTCATGCCTATCAGTTTTAATCATCCACAAAACTGTTTTGAAAGACATTCCTGGATAGATTTTAAACAGAGGCTACACTATACAAGAAAACACCTGGATTAATTTTCGATAAATTACATTTGATTACACTTCGTTTTTCAAGCACATCACAGATTCGGTTTTGGCAGCCAATTTCCGATGTATTTTGTTTTCGATTTGTTAGTACCATTCCAGTGATGTTTTAGATGACACAAATCAAGAGTGCCATTTGGAACTAAGTTCAAAGTCGACAGTTGAAAAGCTAAAACCCCCGTTTCTTGTTTTCATTTCACTCAGCAAAGGGCATGCTGTGCCAATTTTGTTTTCGTCCACGTCCGACTTAGCCCGATTTCTCTTTAAACAGCTGTAAGGGGCCTTTATGTTAACATGTGATTCGTCTTAGGACGGCTTCAAAACCTGCGTCGCTATGTAATGGCAATTGTAGCGAAACTGCGATTTGGCGTTCTCTTTTTAAATGCGAGACCAAATTAATTCTAAACGTTACATAGCAATTACTACTACAAGTTTAAAACTGTTCGTTACAAAACTCCGCCGTACTTTGATCCTACTCGGCATAAACTGCCCAATAGTAATCCTCACAACGCCCTGATATAGCAATGCAAAGAATCAAAAGTTTTTTTTTAAAAAAAAAACAAAACAAATTAAGTGCGCTTCGGCTAGCCAGATCATCATGGGCAGATCACTGACATATCCATGGAAGTCGTCCATCACGAGCGGCACATGAGCCTCGTAGTGCTTTTTTTTTTCTTTCTTCTTTGTCTTTTACAACTGAAACCCCTTGTTTATCCTCAGTCCATGTGTACAAAATTAGGATATCATTTCATAGTTAGTCGGTCCAGAGTGTTCTATGATCGAAAACATGTTCGTGTCAGATTGTGTCACGGAACTGACTCGGATTATCGATATCTGTTTTAATAACTCCCAGAAAAACTAAGTGCGAATTTGAAAAGCGTTTATAAAAAACTTGAGTTCCAGTTTTGCCGCAAATACGGCTTTAAACATGTACCCCAAAATGAAAGGGAAAGATGCTACACTTTGGGGCAGCTCTTTGTCCGCGACCAGAGTTTTGTAACTAGAAGCTATTCAAAGGGCTGATTATGTTTATTAAGATTTCTTAACTTTATACGCAGTAAATCCGATGTTTTGGTCTCTTTTTTGACGAACGTGTATTGCGGAAGTTTTGTGGACGACCTTTTATAAGTATGGATTTTGGTGCTTATTCAGGTCGCTACATAACCTTGGCGTGTACTTAGACCGCTATGATTTATCTCCGGTTTATGGTCTACGAAAACTGACAGCTTTAATTGTCATGGCAACAGAAAGCTCAAGGCTATGGAGAACTTTTGCGTCGATGCGAAAACCATGCCAGATAGGGCTTCTGTTGTCAGGGGCACCCAACGACAATTTTCGTAAAATATCTGTTCGGAAGACGATTTGAGATCTAGAATTTTCGGAGCATTTGTTGTTAAATTTCTTGCTTGCCCGCCTCTCCTATGATTTTCGAACCCCACAAAAATGGTATAATTGCCCATTTTTAACGGATTTTTACCCTAAAAATGTCACCTAGATTTTTCGGGAGCCTTTTTTCTGTAGGAAATCCGAACAGATAAAAAATTTTTAGGGGATAAAAATATGGCTATATCTACCGTTTAAATACTAAAATACGTTCCACAATGCTATGTTTAAGTGGTTTTGAACTATATTCTCGTTGGGTGCCCCTGTGTTGTCACACTGACAAGAGCGGTGATTTCCACGCGATTTCTGCAACAGAGCGAGCAGCGCCGGTATAGCGAACAGGGGCACCCAAAGATGGTTTCCTGTAAAATATCTGTTCGGAGAAGCAAATATTGCCTAGAATTTTCTATTGCTTGAGGACGGCTAAATATTTCTAAATGATCGTTCCATTCATGTACAATTTTCGAGGCTTATTCAATAAATTCCGTACGATTTTCTGAAGTTTAATTTCCACATTTCACTACCCAGGTTAGGCTATTTTTCTTACAAAAAAGGAAACCAAAAATTTTCGAATCGAAAATGTGATGGAGAGAGACATCAGAAAAAATCCTCACTTTCGTATAACGTTCAGTGAATTGCAGTTTCGGGAAAATAATACTGAAGCCCTTGTTATTTCGAAGACTCAAGTTCCCCCAGGATGACCGAACAGATACAACTTTTATAGCGCCGCTTAGAGTGCATTTCTAGAGATCCAAAAGAACTCTGGATAGCCTAAAAAGTGTTTTTAATTTATTTAGGAGGAAATCGTTGTTGGGTGCCCCTGTATGAACATAGCCTCAAAAAAGAAAAAACTGGACGGCAAAACAACAACAACAACCGAACGGCGACCGCTTAGAAAATTCGACCTGTTTCAAACTTTATCGCGCTAATTCCATCTCCTTTGATTCGTCTTGGCAAGCTTTTCTGGATTTCAATTTTAAAAGACTGTATCGAAGTTTAGTGAAAGGAAAAGAAAATCGTTTTCGTTTGTTCACGTCCTCCACAAAACGTGAAATTAGGCACTTTCACGAAGTATGGTGCTCGTGCAGTAACGGCAACCAAAATGTTAGAAAAAAAAAGAAAAGAAAAAAAAGCGTGCTGCATCGGCAAAGATGCTGTTGCTTATAACTAAATCCATTCCTCTTTTGACGTTCTCGTTGCCCTCGCCTTCTTTGTTACTAAAGCTTCTTTCCGTTTTGCTTCAAACCGGCTACTTGCAATTACCCTGCCTGATTGGACTTATACTTTTTCTCATTCAACATAGGCTGATACATTCATACGGCTCGACCGGTTAAAAATTAGGGGCACCCGACGACTGCTTTTTGTAAAATATCTGTTCGGAGAAGCAAATATTGCCTAGAATTTTCTATCACTTGAGAGCGGCTAAATATGTCTGGATGACCGTTCCATTCAGATGTAAAACTTTCTAAGCTTATAATTATCTAATAAATTCCCTACGATTTTCTGAAGTTTAATCTTTCACATTTCACACCCCAGGTTACGCTATTTTTCGTAGGAAAAGGAATCCTAAAATTTTAGGATTCAAAAATGCGATGGACGAAGGAATCAAAAGAATGTTCACTTTCGTAATGCGCTAAATTGCATCTAAAATTTTCGGGCAAATATTCAGTGAAGCCCTTATAATTTCGAAAAGGCTCAGGTTCCCCTAGGGTGACCGAACAGATACAAATTTTATATCCCCGCTAAGAATGAACTTCTAGAGGTGTAAAAGTACTCTGGGTAACCTAAAAAGTGTTTTCAATGTGTTTTGGAGGAAACCATCGTTGGATGACCCTGAAAAATTTGAGCTTATAGGTGCTCTGTCCTCACTGTACGAAAACTTAGCCCCTTAGACCGCCAAAGTTCCGTGTGAACAAAGCCAACTTAAACATTGAACGGTCCCGCGCGTGTGAACGAAGTGTTCGGTCAAATTATTCAGCGGGACAGCGACAATTCGTTCGGAGCCGTATGAACTTACCCTTTGACTCCTTTCTTATTGCTCACAGTTTTTATACGAAATTTTTGTCTTAAAAGAACTCTGCAATGGATCAAGGACAAAAATGCACGATGGGTGAAAGATAAAAAAACAGCGTTTCAGGCTCTTTTATGAAGACGAAATATGCTAAGCTGCTTTGGGCTTCGTCTTATTTTGTCGAGCCAGTATTTTCGTTTAGCCTGGGAGCGTTAAGTTACGTCTGTGATGCGATAAAGGCGGAATAGGGATTTTTCTCGAAAATTAAGTTTTACAAAACGACAGACGGATCAGTCAATCTTATGCAGTTCTAGTTTGGGTCAGCCTCGTTTCCGGTCCAAAAAGAAAGAAGTGGAAACGGAAGTCTTTATAAATCATGGGACATTTTGTCACGTGAATCACTTGAGGTCGTGTGATTCGTCTAACTTTTGAAGAAATCCTCCGCCAGGTCTCTGTAATAAGCGTTTCTGAGCACTTGTAGAGGAAACCTTTCGTTTAGAATTTGATCATGTGTTAATTGGTATGTTTTCCTAAAATTTGTTTTCTTTTCATTTCTTTATTGTAGTCCGAATGCAGTGACCGTACCCTTTAGTGGAGCTGTCAAGTTGACTTACCTTATTTGGTTGTGAAAATGTCACTCTCATGCGTCATCCAATCGCTACAAGTCTGAGGAGATGCCCAGAATACCGAGCGGGCATCGTCATGACAGTAATACCGAGGACTCTTTCCTAGGTCTAACAGGAGGCCTTCTTATCCTACTGGTGACATCAAGCGTACTTTTCCTGGGGGCTCTTTGTAAATATCTCCGAAAGTTATGTCGCAAGCTAAAGGGGAAGGAGCTCTGGAAGAGAGGGTCAAAGAAACGGCAGTCGAAACGTGGAGAGAAGTCTAAAAGGAGCTCAAGTATTAGACGCAGCAGTTCCAGGGCATCGAGAACCAAGGAAGGATTGATTGTATCGCCGGAATTTTCTATCCCATCATCTCGCAGCACTGTGACGCAACAACCTGCACCTGATCTATCACAAGGAAGAACCGGAAGGTCCAATGAGGAAAAACGCCTATCGTAAGTAATGTTTCATTAATCTTAATTAATATATGGTTGAATCCATGAGCAGGCAAGATGAAGCGACTGCTGCGTTCTCATTGGCTACCCGAGCTAGCAAGACGGGTCTATTTCGCCGGCTCGGGATTTCCCGCGTAGGTCCAGCAAGAAAATGTTCTCTTTTTGGCCATTAATAAATCCTTTATTGACCAAGCTTGTTAGGTCAAGATGGCAGTATCAGCATTGTTCTTTTTGGCGTTTTCATAGACCTCGGCTTCATATCAGTCGATAAAATCCCAAGAAAGAACTTGGCCAAAACCCAGCCATCTTGACCTCACTTTTCATACATTTACCTATCTTTAATTGCCACAAACCAGTCAGCGAAACCTAGAGACCTGACACTGGTACTTTTGACCTTCCAATCACGTTTAGTTTTCTTTTTTCCTATCTTGAACTTCAAATGCGCTCATAGACTGAGCGGAGCTTCCATTTTCGCGGGCAAAAGTGTTCTATTAAAAATGTATCTTAAAATAGACCGGCCGATGAAAACACTAAGGGAAAAGCCCTGGGGACGAGGTTGGAAAACGCCGTGGCGCAGAATGCAGAGTTAGATGGGCTCCTGCCTCCCTCTTGTATTAAGAGACGTAAATAATTATACATCATTTTCTTGACCCAGCAACAAATCCAAAACCACTCCAGTTTGCTTCCATGCATTTTCTCGCGCTTGAAGGGGGCTAAAAGAATTTGCGTCGAGTTCTGATTGGTTCTTGATTTTCTTTGTCCGTTATGATTGGCCAAAGAAATCATCTCCGTGTTGGTGTTTTCTGCACTCAAAGTGCGCCATCGAGATTTATTTGGCTTAGCAGTAAAAACTGTTTACTTTCTTTCTTTCTAGGATAATGTCACTTTACTTAAACGAAGAAATGGGTGAACTTAATCCCGAACTGTACGATCATACGGAAAGAGCAGTGCGCATTGGTAAAGATAAAAATCTTGGACAACTGAATTTAAAGATCAGATACAACGACAAGAATAGAAACCTCTCGGTCACGCTGGTCAGCGGTAAGGACTTTCCTCCCCGGGATTACTCCGGCAGTATTGACACGTGCGTGACCGTTTGCGTTCTTCCTCACCGCGAGAGGCGGAAACAGAGTGCAATTCACAGGAGGTCCATGAGCCCTCCATACAATGAGAATTTTGTTTTTAATATTCAAGTGGGTGAAGATGCGCATTCACATAGTCTTCTGTTGGTTACGTACTTTTACGATAACCTGTCTCATAGTCACGTGTTAGGTGAGAGTCAGGTACCACTGATCTACTGTGACTTCTCTGGGTCGACTAATATCTGGTGTTACTTAGAAGAATCGTCCGACTCGGTAAGTGATCGACACTGCAGGAAAGAAGGAGCTTAAAAGCCCGGGGGGGGGGGGGGGGCCCCCCCAAAGAAAAGGGGGGGGGGGCGCGGGGGGGGATTTTAAATTAAACGGGGGCCCCAGGGGCCCTGGATAAACCCCTTAATTTACCCCCAAAAGAAAACCAGTTAAAAAACAAGAACCACTGTTATTTTTATATTTTTTTTGGGGGGGGGGGGGGGGGGGGGGGGGGGTCTCCGCATATGAAAGGGGTGGGGATGCTCGTGGGAAATTTTGAATTAAACCAGGAGCCCATGGGCTCCTGATTAAACCTCTAATTTGACCCCTAAAAGAGACCATGTTAAAACACAGACAATATGTATATTTTTATATTTTTTCGCGTGCAACCCTAAACGAGACCTTCACTGCTAAATATGATGGCGTTTTGCCCAGAACACCCTAAGAGAGACCAAAATCCGAAATTTCTACCCCCTAAGCGAGACGACGAGCATCCCCACCCCTTTCATATGGGGGTCCCCCCGGGCATAAAAGTCGTTTTTGAGCCACACATGTCAACCGGAAGTGAAGCCTTTTTCCCTTTAATGTGCCTTGACGTAGCCAAATTTGTACCGCATTTGTACTGTTCAGTGGCTTTACTCCTATTAAGGCGATTTTCCTGAAAAGTTGGGGCAAAACCACCGCCCAATAATGCAAAAAGTTCATTTTCGGTTTACGTTCGTCGTTCAAAAACGTCTTTGCTGAGCTACCTATCGCCTTTACCACTCGGTTTTCATATGGCCTCATTTGGTATGAACCCCTTCAATTGCGCCTTTGCGAGATGATCTCGGGTGGTAGAGGTCAATTTAATAAGTCGGGTTTTCAGGCAGTTTTTTCTGGAGGTCCAGGGTTCAAGCCTCGCCAGTCGCGTTGTTTCTTTAGACAAGGAACTTTACTTCACTTTAAATGGGTATCTGCGACATTCTGCTGGGGGTAACTCTGCGATGGCCTGGCATTCAGTCTAGGTGGGAGTAGCAATAGTCTCCGGCATGCTTTATGCTAAGGAAACCGGGATACGCTCCGGCCGTTTGGGCCTTTGGCTCGCGTTCACCTTTACCTCTCCTTTAATTGTATCTTTGCCATGGTCTCAGAGCGGGAGAGCCGGTCGGTCGATGTAAGAAGTCGGGTTTTCAAGCGGTTCTAGGGCCTTTTACATAACACGGAACGTCAGAACTAACTACCATCATTTGACGTTGAAATACAGAATTTGGCTGGCTAGGCTTAACGTCAGACTTTAGCGTTAACGACCGAAGTGAAGATTTATCCCCCGGGGGTACTACTTATAAACCAAAAACTATCTATCATTCATGGCTTTATCTATTCATTCTTCACGTGACTCAGTTCGTAAAGCCAGGGAGTCGCATTTGATAGATAAGGCCATGACTCTTGAACCTCATGGCCTAAACCGCCGTGAATTATTGTAATCCATATCCTTAGTATTTTTCCTTTTCAGTTTTTGTGATGTACGTCATTTCCGCCTCTCCCTTTTAAACAATTTTTATTGCGACATTCTCCATCTATATAATATTGTTATTGCTACATAAGTTCGGTAACATGTGTAAACCTGAAGAAGGCTGGTATGGCCAGCTGAAATATCATTTATAAGAAAACAATACACGTTGTTATGAATCAGCTTTGCAGAAGTCTTTGGACTTCTCATTCTTTATATTTTGGCTGATTAGATCTCTTTTCTAGAGATCCAACGTTTACAACTAGCAGGATCTCTGTCCACGGTTTTTGCAGTTAATTTACTCCTTATAACGCGGCCTATATACATGTATACAGGGAGGTTCCTCCCGTAAGGGGTACCGTTTTTAGGCTTCAGGTATATGAAAGGGTAGGGATTTCATTATATAGTGGAAGTATATAGAGTGGTTTTCGTTTGAGTGTCGTAAAACCAAAACCAAAGTAATTACTCTGGCCAATCACATAGGACACAGACAATACATTGAACCAATCAAAACTCGAAGTAATTACATGTGGCTGACGCAAAGCGCGGGAAAATGCATGCGAGCGCGTCACAATTGGCTTTGGTTTTACTTCTCATTGGATGAAAAGGTGGCGCGAATCTTTTAAGCCAATCGCATCGTGTAGAAAGTGCAAAACCAATTACTTTTCGACACTCAAATGAAAACCGCTCTAAAAGGGGAGAGAAATCTGTTATTTCGGTCTTTAGGGAGACCTAAAAGGGTTAAAAGAAGTATTTTATGGCTTTGAAACAAAATCAAGAAAATTTCCTGATTTGTAAATCTCATATTTTAAAGACAGCGCATTTTCAGCAGTTAAAAGAGATGCATAGTTCTAAACTAAGTATGTGAAAGGGGTACCTTTTGTGAGTGGAAGGTATACAAAAGGGGCACCTTTTCTTTCAAAAATAGTATATAAGAGGGTAAGGGCTTGGACATCGGAGCGGAGCTTCCACGTGTAAAGCTTTTATTGGAGTATGCCCCCAAGGGATTAATCTAACTTGCTCTAAGTCTACAGAGTAATAAATATCAAATATGGCGGCATGAACCACCATTGAAACTGTCTATTGACAAATCAAGAGAGGATTTTCAATCTCTTTGTAAAAAGAAACCAGAAACATCTGTAAGGACATGAATCGAAAAAGTAGATAAGTGTAAAGGAAGTTTCACTAGCAAAAGTGTATTATTATGCTTATATCCAAACTTAACCATGGCGAACCCCCCGGGGGGGGGGAAACCTCGTTCAGAAGGTCCCATCTCTTCCTTACTCGACTAGAAGCTGGGAACGAGGTTGGCTGAACCTTAAGGATGAATCACTCAATAAATTTTGGAGTCTGGATTTAGCTGTTTGCAGCTGTGTTTAAAGATCACTCAGCGTTATCAAATTTTTTAAAGGCGTTCTTCTCCTTTTTGCAGGGCACTTCAATTGTGGGAGCGTTGCAAAGTTTTGCCAACGCAGAATGTGGAGAACTGCTTTTATCTCTGTGTTACGTTACTAAGGACCAGACCCTCACGGTGGCCATTATGAAGGGGATGAATTTGACTGCGGGACTACTATCTTGCGTTGGTTAGTTTGCCTGTCCGTTTTAATATTTTTGCACTCGCCTCGGCAGTTTGATACACAGTTTTGACTGTACAGAGGTCCAACGGTTATGCCATGCTTATGACCCCTAATAAGAGCGAGACAACTGTCCATTGCTGCCACTGCCAGGCAGGGCGATATCACTTTGCGCGTGCGTGAGGTACTTGCCAGGCACGGTGAGTTGGTGTTTGGAGTGCGTCACTTTTTCTAAAGTTTGGTCATGATATAAAAATGCCCAATCGACTGTTTTGTGTTGCGCATTCCCTCTCTCGATTTGCTACGACTTTGATTTTGCCTCTGTTTTTATGCTCCTGTAAGCGGACCCCCGAAATGAAATCTCGTTCTACTCTGAATCTTGTATTGTGATCAATCAACTTGAAATCGCTATTGGTTACAATGAATTTATACCAGTTTCAGTGTCTGTTTGCTGGTTTGTTTGTTTGTTTTTTTTTTCACATACACACCCGGTTACACTGCAAAATACCACTTTAATTTTATTCACGTGCTTAAAAATTACAATGTCGTCAGAACTAAAGCAAAGCCAAACACTAACCACCAACTTTTTTTTACATTCCAAATGTCTGTTTGGAGCTTGGTAAATTAACGTAAGGCGCCATTTAACCCTTACACCTCTCGTGGCCGTATGCGAGAACCATTCGATTTTATACGAGTTCATGGAAGGGAAGCCGTTGCTGGGAAAAAGATAATTCAGGGTGTCTGAGGGGATTTGGTGTCTGAAGGGGTGAATTTTGCCGTTAGGTCACACCCATTTTCCTACCTTCTACCAACCTCCCCCCCTCCCCACTGAAGATCTGATTTTTGCCCTATGACCACACCAAACTGGCCAGTAATTTCTGGACATACCTTTGCTGGGAGACTTCCCAGTAAGTCAGGTTGCCGGTTGTAGGTGCACCTTGCTGTCTGGGAACTCTTCCATCAGTCTTGCTGGGAGTGAGAAACAGATGAATTTTTCCCAGCAATCTCTAAAGTGCTTAAAATGGCTTCAGAAAGCTTTATTCATGCTTTCTTGTTGTCTTTAGGTCTTTTTCTCAAAATTTCCCTTTGGGTGCCCCTGAGACTGGACCGAATTTTTTACAAATTTATAATGCACTAAGTAAGACGCTGTTCTTCCTTCCGCAGAAAAAGTTTACACAAAAGCAACACTACACCATGATGGCCAAAAGCTTCTGAAAAGAAAAACTGGTTTGCAGGAAGTCGGTGACACTTACACAGTTTTCAACGAAGCTTTGTTATTCCGTGTGCCCGAGGATAAGCTGCCGTTCTGCACGTTGAAAATCTCCGTAAACCACTACAACGTGGTCGGAAAGAGCGCTACCGTTGGTGAAGTCATTTTCAGCGCGGAGTCGACTGGACTCGAGGAAGCACACTGGGATACCGTGACGTCAAAACACGACAGAGCAGTTTCTATGTGGCATACATTAAGGGGCTTCAAATTTATTGAGACATTGAAGGATGATAGACAGCCGCTGTCTCCAAATTAAAGAGTGGATCGTAGTAAAACAGGCCAATAGTCCCAATAGACCTCTTTAGCATGTATGTTTTGTTTTCCCAATTGCTGGTTTTCAGTGTCACGCCATTCAAAATAGATCAAAATAAAAATCAAAACCGTTCAATAGATAAAGTCCGGAATCTGGAAAATGAAAGGAGGTAAATATACCAAGTTCCTCGCCACGATTCCTGAAGAAATGCGTTACGCAAATTTACAGAGATTTGTATGGAGACGCCATGCTGGTGCCCACCTGGATGGGTTCCAACATGGCGGACGGAAACCAACAAAAACATCTATTACCGAGTTTTGCTACAAAAGCGTGAATTTATTTCTCGAGGAACTCATAAGCATTAAAGTAATACTTTTTCTAATCCATGAGCTGCTTAGATAGTTAAATTCCCCGAAATACGTCACTTTTTTAACCTACATGACTTCCCTCTCGGCCGTCATGTGAATGCCACGTCACGCAAAAGCTTAGAAATTCAAGCGTACTCTATCACAAAACCAAGAACCCTTTTGAAGCGAAAATTTGTATGGAAATTAGCTTTCCGGCTGCTCTAATACATCATGAAAGTAAAATCCCAGTAGGATCGATAGTTTTGTAGTTGGAATTTTAGTGACGTCATGTGAAAACCAACAATAGAGGTCCCACGGGAACTTAATCTTTTGTCTTTTTATAAATTATTCGTTCATATGTGCGTGAATAGGACGAAATTTGAAGGAAACAGTTCTCAACAGTATTATCACATGACTTGTATTGGGAAAAAAAAAACATACACGCAAAAGAGTTCTATTGGGATCCAACTTCCGGATGCCGATTCGAACCTGAACAAACTTCCCTTCCCTTTGATTTTACTCTCAATATTTTGAACCTCCACGTGACGTCACGGCGGCCATGTTGGTGGTCAAGTACTCAAGAACAAAAGCTTTCTCTTCAAGAAAAAAATTATATTGTCTAGACCACCAACATGGCCGCCTTGTTATGTGGTCAAACCAAGAATTGCCTAGAAGAATCAAAAAATCGTTATTCCACCGTATCAAAATTCATGCTTAGCTTTGAGGCCAAAGGGATTAAACAAAAGAAACTTCGTCGAGGCACAGGGATTAATTATTCATTTTTTTTACTATTCGTCAAAGCCTCAAAGCTGAGCATACTCCTTCGGAGATTCTCTCCCAGCAATCACGTCGCATACGCCACTTGCACATCTCCCATAATGCAACTTATTTCCCCTTCCTCCCCCACCCCCCAAAATTTTGCAGAAGCATTGTTTTCAATTTCCCTTGGGACGGCTGTAATACCCAGGAGAAATGAAAAACAAAGTTATGCAAATTTTTGCGGGGCAAATGAGGTGCATTATGGGAGATGTGCAAGTGGCGAACAGGCGATTCCAATGACAAAAAAAACAGTAAGGTTGATCAGCTTAACATAACTTAGCTTCAATCAACGCTTTAGTTTTTTTTGTGTGTGTTTACAAATAATACGGACTAGTGTGGACATCAGACGTAATTAAATCACCGAGGCCATTTGCCTTGACATGCTAATACCCGGGTTTATTACCTTCAAGATTTTAACTCAATTAAACGTCTTTTGTATGGTTCCAGTCAGCGTAAAATTCTCAGCGGTTTTCCCATGCAAATGACTTCCATTTCTTTTCTTTGCGACGGCATTATACTTTTTAATTTTGCAGAAAACAATCTCTGTGGTTTCCATTCAAATTAACGAAAGAGCTCTCCTTTTCCACAACATCGCCGGTTTGGGTCGAGAAGTTAAACCAGTTCACACATTCGATGAACTCTTCTGGACTCGTCATTATGTCGCTTTAAAAATAACCCTACAGCCCATTCTTGATAATTTCCCCCGCCAAGGGTGAATAGCCGCGTTGCCATGGAGAGAATATTTATTTCCACAATTGCAATGGCTCCGTTGTCGTAAAGTATCCCTGTTGGATCAAATGTTTCTGGGTTGTTAAGAAGCTTGTGTAAAAAAAGGGATAAAGATTGACGATCGCTCGCCCCTGTAATGTCCCTGAGCGTGTCTGAGCCGTAATCAGTCAAATCCGAAGCTAAATAAACTTGACGAGCATGAATCGCTTCCCGTGACTCCTGAACCCGAGCAGCCAGTTTTTCGAAACATCGCCTTGTTATGTTCGCGCCTTTTCGTTGCACGTGTCTCTCCGAACGCACTTGAACACCTATAAATTTTCCCTTGAATGTGTTTTTGACAAAATTTCTGGCAATTCTCACAAGATTTGCGTTAAATTCCAGATCAGACGGTTGAAGTGGATTGGTGATAGCTGGGTGAAGTGGAAAATGCGTGCGTTCATCACCAGTACCTCTCCACTGAACGATCCCAACGCAGGTTGCTCCTTGGAGAACCTTGTCCTCGAGTTCTTGGCCAGACCTTATGACTTCCGGGTCCACACACACATACCGGCTTATTTTAAAACCGATCTGTTTACTAAGTCGAGATCGCTTTATCCAAGGGCAATCAATCCAGCCATTGTGTTCCTTCGCTTGTTTGTACATAGCTTTCACCTCCGCATCACTAGCTCTGTACCACGACGCCGTATTTTTCATGAAATCTTCCTTGTCGAACAAGAAGTGAACAACGACTTGAAATCTGTTCGAACAGTGATGCTCGAGGTCATGAAAACGCTTAAAAGTACTGTAACCATGAGATTCTAACTTGAAATTAAAGTCTTGCACGTCGAAATATGTATCCAGTGGAGCGTAGTTTTTCACTTTTTCAACCTTTCGGTAGTAGTGACTCACTCCTCCTGGCAGCCCTGACATACGTGAGTTATTCACAAACGGAACAACAATTGCGCGATTCTCATATTTAGCTAGCGAAGCCAGCGCTAGAATGTTGGCAGTGGCTCGGCCTAACTGTTCATAATAGCGAAAAACATACAAAAATCTTGGCTTAGGTCCCTGCATGTTGTCCTCGCCGTTATTTTCACTTTCAATGTCCGGTGGCTGACTGCGGGACTCATTACTGTCAGAAATTTCGCTGGCGTCTGCATCTCCCTCTTGCTCGTAACCACGCCAGACGTGCTTTTCGACGTTTGTCCGAGGAAGATAACGCAAGTTTACGCTAGAAAGTTCGAGCTTTTCACTTTCGACGAAGCTAGCAGGAACGTCGAGGACGCCATTTTCACGGAAGAGTAGAGTGATGAAGCTAACAACGATGTACAAGGCGATGGAAAAAAAGAGTATAAATAAACATTTCGTCCTTGTTCTAGCCATTAGGAATCTGGAGATAACATATCTCTTCGTCAAAGCCATGAATATTGAAGATTTTGTCGGACACGATACTCGAAATACAGCATTTGTCGCTGAACAACAAGACCGGCCGAGAACACGAAAGGACTTTCAGGACACGCTATGTTAATACGAAGCCGGGACCCAGACAAAGTAAGCCGTCATCTGCATGTACTAATTGAGAAGGCCAGGACGAACACACCGAGACACTTCATGCCTCTAACAGGGGGTGGAAAAACCAAGTTTAGTTGTCGCTCCATCAAAACTGTTGACCCGAACCTCGACGAGATACGACTCGCTTGCGCGCTAGATCTAAAACGAAACCAAAGTATTCTTTTCGAGCAGCAATATCGACAGGTTGTGACGCGTTAATAGGCAAATTTAACTTGAAAGGGTCTATTTTTGTGGGCACATCTTCGTTTGGCCCTTAGCTCGATGTACAGTCCTATATCAATGATTTCTGCGGGGGATTTTGTGTCTTCCAGCTGTCAATATATTGATGCCCCAACATGTAGATTAACATGTCGTTGTTCGACTGTTATCCAAAACTCACGTGCTGAGCCAGGGTGAGCGCGTCACGCTCAATGAGTGTCCTTTGTTGTCATTTTTTAAGGTTCTGACTCGACAAAAATTAAATCTAAACTCTGCGATGGCGTATTTCTTAAATATTATCACAAGAAATCTTAAATTTATCTCAATGAATATTTCTAGGTCACCCAGATTACCATTGGTTATGTAAACAAGCTTGTTCGATTCAAATACGCCTACTTTGCATAATAATTCCCCGCCGGAAAAAAATAGTCCTTTTCTTTCAGTAGCCGCTAAATCACAATTTAACAACTTTGCCTTTCAAAAAAACTACACACTGCAAAAGAGAAATAAACTTTTACGACTAAGACACCCATTTATACATTAAAATAAGCCGAAATACCGCCGAAGGCAGAACACACGGTTCCATCAAAAGTGGTCGACTGTCAACACAAAATTACAAGAAATTGTCGCGATGACACTTTTAACGCCTTGTAAGTGGTTAATAGAGCGATAAATCATATTCACAGCAAATCGCTTTTCATTTTTAAAATCACAATTTCAGAAGCAATGGGCTTAAGCAGATTATTTTACGAGAATGCATATTTTAAAACTGTGGAAGCATGCGCGTCTTTCCCACTGATATTCAGAACCCATCGCTGTTGGAATTTTATTCATGTGTAAAGACTTCCTGGTGATCTTGAATCTTACATGCAGAGATCACTGTCATCGTACAGATAAAATATCTGTAATGACTGAATATTTTGCCCACCAACAGATTTTTATCAAGTGGTTAACAGTAGGCATCCTTCTTTCTCTTAAGGAGCTCTGAAAACTAATCGTGTTCCCCTAAGCTCTGAAAAGGTCTCGGAAATTTTTCTGTTTTAGCTATTTCCGTATAATTATTCACCATTCCAAAATGGCTGGGAATTAAAAAAAAAAGGGAATCAGTCTTTTTGCAAATTCACATAATATTTCTACCTCTTCTAATAAAAACAAAACGAAGGAAAAACGAAAAACAATTAGCCTATTCTAGTGGTCCGCAATAGCACTTTATTGAAAAGACGAGATTTCACCGTCGTACGATTGTTAGATATGAGTGACAATGAAATAATTTGTAGCAAATTAACATATGAAATAGACATACCACATCAACAAAGGGGCTGAAAGCAATTAGCCCATGTCAAATTAAATACTCTGAGCGATCGATGTTAAACAGCGACGGTTTAAATAAGCTTTCTTTCTAGCGATACGTTGCTGCCTAACGTTTTTCACCAGATTTCATTTCGCTTGATACGACGACGGAAAGAAATGAAAAATGCAGTTTCAATATCCTCAATAGTTATATGTGACGTCCACACCGCAATCGTAAAGGAAAACAATTATCATACACAATAAGCCTCATGAAAAGTTTGTTGAGAGCGAAGCCCTAATGACTCATTTAAACAATAATAAACATTGCTCATAAATCAGTTTGCACAGTCAAAGAGGTTTCCACGCCAAAAGAACATTGTTGAATTGAAATGTGTCGAAACACTTCCAAACGTTGCATTGCGGACATTTTTTTGCGGTAAAAATAACTCACTCGAACTTATAAGTAGTGGCACTTCATATCTCCTTCTTAATCCATAAACGCGCAGTCACCGAATTCCTTGTTTCTTTTCCGTCTTAGGAGGTGTAAATATTCATGCTCTTTTGACCTCTTGTCTGAGAAAGATGGCTAATGCCCCATTCAACATAACATGTCTTTCAGAAGGCGGGGAGGGGGGTGGGGGACACGGGAACTGGAGAAATGGAAAGGAAAAAGGGACATGAGTGTTTTAAAAGGGTAGGAAAAGAGAGAAATAGGGGAAAACTACGCAACAATGCTTACAATCGAAAAACGGCTAAAAGGAGGAAGCCAAGAAAAAGGGGAGCCGGAGCCTAGAGTACGGGAAGCGGGAGATTTGGACCCCGTGAAAAGGGCTCG